TTTTGGCATACGTTGAGTTGAGGTGCGACTTTGGAAGGCTTATATCTAGGGAAGTATGAACTTCCTCCTAATAAGATATATATTGTTGTAATTAGGATATCAATACCTATGCCTCATCGAAATAACGGTTTTATACCCTAGGTCTCTTTGGACCAAATCCGTTTCAGGACATTTGAAGTCGATCTAGAAATGTCCGTCCGTCTGTCTGGCCCGCTGGAGCGCACGATAACTCTCGAAGGGAGTATCCGATTTGGTCCAAACTTGGTACATCGTAATATTATTATCACACTTAGATCAAGTTTTATTTTTATTTAATAATTTGCCTTATAGAACAAGCAAAGGCCATCAAATTTTCTGCAAACTTTTCAAATTCTGCACATTCTATTTACACATGATATAGTGTAAATATGGAATATTTCGGACCACCCCATCGGGTACCTCCCCCACAAGGTATCAAAATTTTGGGTAATTGTACTCTCTCAAAACGGGAATTAAGTTCCCAATTATCTTCAAATTTCATACACCGTCATATGTCGACTATTACAATACATGGTGCAATAATGGGATATAGCGGACCATTCCTTCTGGTACATCCCCCACAAAAGGTCAACATTTTTAATAACCAAACCGCTCATAAAACTCGAAATATGCTTCAGATTCTTTTCAAACATTATCTTATTTTTGTCAACGGAAGATCTGATGCGAAGACAAAATATATCAGCCTACACCTTCCAGCACATCCCCCAAAATGGGTCACAATTATCAATATTGTACCTTCCATAACTTTGGAATCAAGTCATCGCAACTTTTCAAACTTGATAAATAGTTCACTACCAGGTATTTGATGTGAATAAGGAATTTATCGGTCCACTTCTGCCGGTACCACCTCCAAAGGGTTCGAATTTGAATTAATTTTTTTCAATTTCGTTAAAATGTACGGGTCCCAATGTTTGTATCAGTATTAGGCAAAGTGGAATACTTCAACATCGACTTTTTCTGAATATTATGGCATATCTTTTCTAAAAAGCGGGCAGAAGTCTGTATAGTCCAAATATGGCATATTATAATATTTATATCTGAATTAGGTCAGATATGCAATGGACAATATTGCTTGACTCTTTGGGAACGTCCCTCATATGGGTCAGTAGATCAGACGGACCATCCTGAGCTAAGGGTATATAGCAATCGGCTAAACCAACTGATACATTTCAGCTTGTTAATATACAGATTATGTCTTATTTAAGGAAGAAATGTTGCGGCCAAGTAAATAAAAGTTGGAAGATGGAACGCGATCAGATAAGAGATTTATTACAGCAACCTGCAGAGCAGCAACAAACTCGGAAAAAATAGTTGTTTTTGGTCCGTATTACCCGCTTAATATTATTCGATCATAACAAAAATTGGTGACGATCGACCCATAACTACGGCCTGGATTTTGATTACAATCCTTAATCAACGGACGGACAGACACACAGCTTGATCGTCTTATATCGTCGGCCTATGAAGATTGTGATTATGAAGATTAAAGGAAAATATATTTGTTCTGTTTCTTGTTACGTTTCAATATCCTACATGACCGGTTGAGACACTGCAAAATCAGGAAAAAAATTGTTTTTGGTGTTCGCCTTAACATTTTGCGATCATCTCCAAAACAATAGGATAATATTCTGTCCCTAAGTCCAAATCCATTGAAAACTTCGTGAGGATTGCACCATAATTGCGTGTAAATTAACATGGACGGACACACATAGCTAGATCGACTCAGCTCTGCAGATAGGATAGGAGATATAACATATAAGGTCTAGGACCAATATTTCGATGTGTTACAAACTTTTTGGCCCAATCTAACTTATACTTCCCTCAATACATGGTGTTGGAGGGTACAAAAAGCAGACATTTCTAATTGTTTATCTCTTTGAGATAATTTGTATAAACAATATAGGGAGAAACTGGTCGATTTTTGTAACAATAATTATCAGCTATTGTTGTTTCTGCAGTAAAGAATTAGGGATACACAAGTCGACTTACGATTAATCGATAGGTAGAAATGCCTAAAAGTACAAGACGATGTTAGTGGACATATAGCAAACAAATTACTTACTTTTCCATACAAAATTTAGTCAACACTATTTCTAATACGCATTTAGGCGGAGTTATAGTTGTTTTTTTTTTTTTTTTGGCGTATAATAGTTATGCCAATTCTTGAAATCGCGCAAAAATCTTGAATCAAAAATTTATAATTAGGCGAATGTATATACACCAAAAGTATTTTTGACATACCTCTCTTATGTTTATTTTGGAAATATATGTTATGAATATAAATTGAAAACTTTAACATTTTACGAAAATATTTAAAATATGAATGCAAGATATGTGATTTAATAGAAAATATATCTTTTAAGGAAATACCATTATGTATCATGTCGTAGATTGATTTTATTCGTGTTAATAGTTAAATGAGCGAACAAGTAATACACACAACAGTAGATCGGTTTCAGAACTGCATGACTGTAAAAGCTTTTACTACGATAACCGATATAATAAAGGGAAAACCGGTAATTGATATTAAAGCCTTTGACAAAAAATTACTTACGCTGGTCCACGGTATTTCGGTATTTTGATGGTTTCTGCCAGAATTTCCAGAATTTTCAACTTTGACAAGCATAGTGGAATATATAAAAAGTTCAGCCCGGCCGAACTTAGTGCCTAGTTTACTTGTTTTAATTTTTAATTTCATAAACAAGTCATGAATTTTACTACTCCAAATTCTCATAAGCATTACATAAACAGAATCAATCGGCTAGTGTTACTGATAACCACGAATTACATTTTTTGTTCTCAAACATTTGGATTGTTTCGTTCGTAAATGTGCATGATCTGCGAACTACTAACCACCAAGTGAATAGGGAGTATTAGAATAATACTGAGTATAGAGCGAAATAAAAAGAACCATAAATTAAGTGTTTTTGTTTTTTACAGGCGTGAGAGAGATAAACATAGCGCATGGTCAAGAATCCAGACTTTTGATATATCTCTATGTTTAGTTCAAATTATGAATAAACAAGAGACAAAGTTTTGCGTTGTGTCCCGTGTTTTTGTTCACTTTGATCATTTGCTCAAACGTATTCAAAAAAAAAACGATGTGGACGAAGTGCGTTTATGCACAAATGATTTGATTACCTAACAATCGATTGTTTAGAATTACACTACTATTTCTCTACACTACTATTTATCTCAATCGAGTGCTGATTACATATTCGTAGTTTTTATATGTGTATGTATTGTGCTTAATGTTATAAACATTGGCTCTGTTCCAAAACCTGCAAGAATTTGTTAGTGTCCATTTTTTCCGATATCATAAAAGGACAATCGGTTATCGTAGTTAAAACTTTTACATTCTTGCATTTCTGAAACAGACCAATTATTTCAAATATTTGTAAATTAATACTCCATTTAGAATTAAGAAGGTAAAGTCATGCAATCATATGATTACAGTTTTTTTTTTTCTAAATTGTCCATTTGACAACATCTCAATGTTAAATAACTATTGTCAGTTTCGTTTCAAACATAAATATAAAGTCAATAACTCAAATGAGAACTTGTTTAATTTGAAGTGGCACGGAGGACAGTAGACTATTTTTATTGATTTTATGTTATTTTTGAATATTTTTAATGATGAAGTTACAGAAACTGCTCAAATCCAAACTCAAATCCCCCATATAAACCTCATACAATTGTGATAAAAGTATACTGTAATGTATGCAAAATTTAAATTAAGGGAATAAATACTTATAGAACCACATTGAGGACAATAATATTAAACCAAATAAACTGAAACTTGATATTTGAGATTCTCGGTATGTCCTTTCTCCTTTTTCGTTGATCAACATAGTGGTGGAGGGTATAAAAGTTCAGAATTTATGTTTTACAGCGTTGCCTAAAATTCGACGCGTCGTACAACCCAAATACACCAGGTCCATATCATTATACAAGCCATAAAAAACCAAAATTAACAAGTCGAAATTAACATAAAATAAAAATTTCAAGAAGATGACTTGAATTATGAACCAAAATGAAGAAAAAGAACAGCTGTATTTTCTATAAAAGTCAAAAAATAAAGTACTCACAAAGAACTCCTTGTGTAGAAGTTCAGATAATTCTATTGAAAATTGTGGCTAAAAAGATGAAAATACACGGAGACGTGGACCTGCATAAGACGTTTTTTGTCAAAGGCTTTAATATCAATTACGTACTTCAAACTGTCGCTTAAATCATCAAAATACCGAATATCGGGAGGTACCGTCACCGTGGACCTCAATGTACAATTTTGTATCATATGCTGTAGAACCTATTGCGAACTTCAAATACGAAAGACAGCATGTTTACAGCAGACGGACATCGATTTAGAATTTTACGCTGATCAAGAATATACATACTTTGTGGGGTCTAAAATGAGTATTTCAAGGAGTTACAAACGGAATTAAAAACTTAATATACCTTATATAGTATGGTGGAGGGTATAAGAAACAAATACGTCTTTCGTTTGAAGTCTCCTTATTAATTTAGTATGTAACTTTTCATTCGCGTTTTAATAAAAATGTGTGCTTTAAATGCGTTAAGTTTTTATTTATTTCCTTTCATAATTACTTTTTTCAGAAAAATCATATATTCACATACTTATGCAGTAATGTAACCAAAAATAATGACCTATAACAGTTCGATCACATTTTTTTATAGACAATGAAGAAATTAGTTCGTAATTGGGTGTCCAACAGCGAATTGCCTTCATTGTGAACTTGGCATAACTTAATGCAAAACATCTATTTGGAGTATAGAAAATTTATTTTCCTGTTTATATTACAATTCATCTTGTTAAATATCCATGATCGAACGACGTAATTCAGACAACAGTATGAACATGGCATAACGAGGTTAATGATTGTTATCGATATCAGATTGTATCGAAAAAGTTCCGTTGGATAAATTGCAATAGCCATTTAAAGTGAAGACACAAAGAAAGTGAAAACTATATTCTTATACTAAACAAAATTATAATTAATTCTGAAATTTTTTGGAGTATAGTCTGATTGCGAAATATAACGAGGCCTTCGAATTATTAGATGAACTATTTATTGCATTCGAAAGTCCATGAAATTTTGAAGGTAAGTTAGTTAATTTACATACATTGCTCTTGGAAAGAGATACATTTACACGCGACCTCCCAATTTTTTGTAAATGTCTTTTCCCAATAGCGGTGGTTAAAATATATATTTTTGAGATTAAAATGAGATCAACGCCCTGTTAATTTTGTAAATAATGTAATATTTCAGTCATACATGTATAAAATAATAGACATAAAACATAAGTGTTGAATTCTTTAATACATGTTCGTGAATTAAATGAGTAACAACATTAGGTGTATTCCAGCATAATTAATGAATAAGTTCCAGAGAATTCTGCATTTATGTTTTATATGTATCATTTTATATATGCATGGAACAATGCAAAGATCGCAAACTCGATGATGCTTTAATCGATTTTTGAATTTTTTTTAAGCAGTTTCTGTACTCCAAATACAAGAAACCATAGATAATTTTAAGCTAGCAATTATGATTGCTTTGGAAAAAGAGAGATAGCCATATACTTAGAGTTGTGAAGTAAAATCATAACGGTTTCAGACAAAGCGCGTTTCTTTTGGCGTCATTCTATTTAAAGTACTGTTATGAAAAGTAAAGAACACATTTTTACCAAAGGTGCAAGACCTAGTGTTAAAAGACGAAATTCTAAATTTTGCTTTAGAATTTGGCCAACACACATATATTTCTTCAGCTTAGAATAACTAATTATGTTTTATAGTACACCCCACTTGAGCAACACCATGTTTTCCTTGGTAAAATTTGTCTACGAGCATATGTACGTAATTAACTCAAAAACCATTAAACAGAAATCCGAAGCGGAGTGCACAGTAAATTATAAAGGTGCAACCTATTTGGCTCAAATTATCCTTGCAAGTGGTAAGTTTAAGTGTAATATACCTTGTATATATTTATTTAATACATTTCTTTAGATGACAGGGATCATCTGTGTAACATAAAGGAAAAAAATCTTCGAGCTTTACACGAACAAAAAAACATAAAAGAGAGCAATGTTTCCCACAATGAATTTAGCAACGACACACAAACAAACAATATTTCGCATTTTAAGAACACACAAAATTGTTCCCAATATGCAATATCAGCTGTAGGAGAATCCTTGGAGTCCATATCTCCTACAAATGTTTTAAACACAACTTCTTAAATCGTTTCAAATGGCATTAAAAAGGCCGCCACTTTGGCATCATCGAAAGCTGATTTCAGAGAAGCTTCGCGGAACTTATGTCTTAATGAAACGTCAAATGATCATTGGACTTCCGTAAGGTAAGTTACTATTATATAATAAACGATAATCTGAAATATTACATTAGGTGAACGTCAGCCGCTGCAAATATTAATAGATTAGCGGCATACAGGGTCTAGATCCAGTTATGATGGTCAATCCGAATATCCATGCCATTTGGACGCACGATTTTAAAAAGTCGGTAAATACATTCGAAAGAAAATTGGCTTAGACTCATTTTAGAATACATAAATTTAAATGACATATTTGTTCGAGATCTGATAATATTAGGAAATTTACGGAATACATGGTCCAGATCTATTTTTGATGGACAATTCGAATATCCTTGGCTTTTCGAAAGTTGACCAAAAAAAATTATTTAGTATAAATTTCTAACACTTGCTATATTTTTGAAATATGAATATATGTTGATCTTAACGGAATACATGTATAGATACATTTTTTATGGTAAATCCAAATATATATACAGTTTGGACACATGCCTCCAAAAAGTCGGAAAGTTGCCTTAGTCAAGTACAGTTCCTGACCATGGATGTTCGGATTGACCAGCGAAAATCGGTCTAGACCATGTAATCCGTTATCCTCTATATATTTTTAAATCTCGAAAAAATACTGCATTCATATTCAAGTATTGGGAATATTGACTAAGTGAATTTTCTTTTTTGTCAACTTCCCGTCTTTTCGGAGGCGTGGATCCAAAAGGTCAGTACCTTCGGGTTGGCCTTCAAAAATGGATCTAGATCATTCAGATCTCGAAATATATGTCACTTAAATACAAGTACTCAAAATATTTTCTAAATCAATTTTCTTTTGATTGGATTGGCCATTGTAGATGCATCTAGACTATAACGTTAATCTCAAAATATTGTGAGATCTCGAAAAATCTGTCTATTAAATTCAAGCATTGAAAAATTTGAATAAGTCAATTTTCTTTCGAACCAACTTGTCGACTGGTTGGAGACTTGCATCCAAATGGTGTATATATTCGGATTGCCTATTGAAAATGGATCTAAACCATTTATTCCGTTAATCTCTTATTATTTTCAGATCTCGAAAATGTACGACTATTCAACATTTTGACCAAGTCAATTTTCTTTCGGTCCAACTTACCCACTTTTTGGAGGCGTGCGTCTTAATAGTATACATATTTGAAAAGGCCATTGAAAATGAATTCAGATTGCGTATTGTGTTATACTCTAATTGTTTTCAGATCTCGAAAAAATATGGGTTTTAAATTCAAGTATTCAACATTTTGATTAAGTTTATTGTTTTAGTTGCATTTCACAAAATCTTGGGGTCGTGCGTACAATCGGTTTCGATCTCGACATCTAAAGGTAATTACAGATTAAAAGCACACACGGTCTAGATTCATATTCGATGACCAATCCGAATATCCATATTGTTTGAACGAACGCCACAAAAAATAGCGAAGTAGGCTTGAAAGAAAATTGACTTAATCAAAGTTTTGAAAACTTCAAATTAAATTCCATATTTTTTAAGTTCTGAAAATCTTTAAAGATTATCCAAATACGTGGTTTAGATACATTTTCTATGGGCAATACAAATATGGATACCGTTTAAACCCAAGTCCCCAAAAAGTTGAGAAGCGTACACCAAAGAACTTTGACTTAGTCAAAATTTTCAATACTTGAAGTTAAATGTCATATTTTTGGAGATCTAAAATATTTAGAGATTAACGAAATACAGAGTATAGATGCAATATAGGACATTCCAATATCAACACCGTTTTCACGTAAACCTTAAAAAAAAAGAAGTTGGTCCGAAACAAATACTACTTCTTCAAAATTTTTATATCCTCCACCATACTATGGAGGGTATATTAATTTTGTCATTCCGTTTGTAACTCCTTGAAATACTCATGTCAGACCCAACAAAGTATATATATTCTTGATCAGCGTAAAATTCTAAGACGATCTCGCCCTGTCCGTCTGACTGAGTGTCTGTCTGTCAGTCTGTCTGTTGTAATCACGCTATCTTTCGAACAAATTGAGATAGAAGGCTAAAATTTTGCACACATGTATATTTGCCAGTAGGCAGGTTAAGTTCGTAAATGGGCCATGTAGGTCCAAGAAATCATATAGCCCCATATAACGGTACCTCCCGATATTCGGTATTTTGATGATTTTAGCGACATTGTTTACCGGAATCGTTTCAAAGTTGGCATTTGAAGTTCGTAATGGATACTACAGCCCAAGACAAAAAATAATCTATGTAGGTCCCATTTCTTCGTATAGACCCTATATAATGGTACCCCCCGATATTCGGTATTTTGATGATTTTAGCGACATTATTTAACGGAATCGTTCCAAATTTGGTATTTGAAGTTCGTATTAGATACCGCAGCATAAAACAGAAAATGGGCCATGTAGGTCCACGTCTTCGTATAGCCCCCATATACCATACGCCCCGATATTCGGTATTTTGATGATTTTAGCGACATTATTTACCGGATTCGTTTCAAAGTTGGCACTTGAAGTTCGTAATAGATGCTGCAGCATTAAACAGAAAATGGGCCATGTAGGTCCACATCTTCGTATAGCCCCCATATAGCGTACCCCCGATATTCGGTATTTTGATGATTTTAGCGATATTATCTACCGGGATTGTTTCAAATTTGGCATGTGAAGTTCTTAATGGATACTTCAGCCCATGCCAGAAAATTGTCTGTGCAGGTCCACGTCTTCGTATAGCCCCCATATAAAGGTACCCCCTATATTCGGTGTTTTGATGATTTTAGCTACATTATAAACAGATTTTTCTTCAAGTTTCGCATTTAAATATTGTAATAACTTATGACAAAAGTTGCCTATGCAGGTCCACGTCGTCGTATAGGCATTTGGAATTTTTAAGATTTTAACAGAATTTTTAACGGATTTTACTTTTATACCCTCCACCATACTATGGTGGAGTGTCATTCCGTTTGTAACTCCACGAAATACTCATGTCAGACCCCACAAAGTTTAGCCATGTCCGTCTGTCTGTCTATTGTAATAATCATCAAAATAATAAATTCAACATTAGGAGAATCATAGTGCAGCAATTTGCTTAGTAGGAAAGGAAGATATTTTGTTTTTTGTTTAATCATAAATGGGCCATGTAGGTCCACGTCCTCATATAGCCCCCATACAACGGTAGCCCCCGATATTCGCTATTTTGATGATTTTAGCGACATTGTTTAGCGAAATCGTTCCAAATTTGGTGTTTGCAGTTCGTAATAGATACTGCAGCATAAAACAGAAAATGGGCCATATAGGTCCAAGTCTTCATATAGCCCCCATATACCGTACCCCGCGATATTTGGTATGTTGATGATTTTAGCGACATTATTTACCGGGATTGTTTCAAATACGGCATGTGAAGGTCGTACTTCAGCCCATGCCAGGAAATTGTCTGTGCAGGTCCACGTCTTCGTATAACCCCCATATAACGGTTCCCCCCATATACGGTATTTTAATGATTTTAGCTACATTATAAACAGTTTCGCATTTAAATATTGTAATAATTTATGACAAAAGTTGCCTATGCAGGCCCACGTCGTCGTATAAGCATTCGAAATTCTTAAGATATTAACAGAATTTTTAACGGATTTTATTTTTTGGAAATTGCCAAATTTGTACCAAATGGTGGAGGGTATTAAAAGTTCGGCCCGGCCGAACTTACAGCTTTTTTACTTGTTAATACTAGAATGTAAATAACATTTTTTTTGATATTTGATATAAATATATATTGTGAGAGTTTTAATGCTTGAATTGAAATATTATATTTTTTAAATTGTGAAAATATTTAGAGATTAACGAAATGCATGGCCTAGATCCATTTTTGATGACCAGTCCGAATATGCATACCATTTGTGCGCACTTCCCAAAAAAGTATGGAGAGAAAATTGACTTAGTTAAAATTTTGAACACTTAAAATTAAATGCCATATTTTATGTAGTTCTGAAAATTTTTATTGATTATCGAAATGCATTGTCTAGAAACATATTGGATGGCCAATTTGCGCCACCAAAAAGTTGGAAAGTGACGCCAAAGAAAATAAAGTCTATTTTAATACTTGCATTTAAATGCAATATTGTTGGAGATCTTAATATATTTCGAGAATAACGGATTACACTGTCTAGATCCATTTTCAATGGCTAGTCCGAATATGCATATCATGTGGACACACTTCCAAAAAGTCTGAAAGATGGCTCGAAAGAAAATTGCCTTAGTCTTTGAATACTTAAATTTAAATGGCATATTATATTTAGTTCCGAAAATCGTTATAGACAATCGAAGGACATTGTATAAATCAATTGTTCATGGCCAATCCGAATATGCATACCGTTTGAAAGCACGCCTTCAAAAAGTCGGAAAGTAGACACCAACGAAAATTTACTTTAAGAAAATTTTTAATACTTGAATTTAGATGCCATAATTTTCGAGATCAAAATATATTTAGAGAATAAAGGAAATCACATTTTAGATCCGTTTTGGATGGTCAGTCCGATTATGTAGACCGCTAGGAATCACGGCTTCCAAAATTCGGGAAGTTGGCCCGAAGGGAAATTGAGTTAGTCAAGTCAATTTTTTTGGTGACCACTTCCTAACGGATCTTAATCACGTATTCCATTAGTTTTAAATAAAGGCATGTACATTCAAGGATTCAAAATGTTTACGGATTCAATTATCTTTGGTGTCCACTTTCCGAGTTTTTGAAGGCGTGCGTCGAAACGGTATGGATAATCGGATTGGCCAGCAAAGGTAGATCTGGACAATATATTCGGTTAATGTTTAAATACGTTAATATCTCGAAAAACGTGGTATTTAAATCTAAGTTTTAAAATTTGACTAGTCATTTTTTATGTCCACTTTCAGACTTATTAGGCGTATGACGAAATAGCATGTATATTCGGATTGTTCATCCAAAATGGATCCAGGCCATGTATTTCCTTAATCTCTAAATATTTTTAGATCTCGAAAAATTTGGCATTTAACTTTAGGTATTGAACATTTTGAATAAGCCAATATTCTTTCGGGCCAACTTCCACAATTTATGGAGTCTGGACCCACGCCTCCATGGTGTGTATATTCTGTTAATCTATCGGATATGGATAAAGAGTATATAATCGCTTAATCTGCTATCCGTTAATCACCAAAGATTTTCTTAATTAAATAAAATATTGCATTGTTAAATTCAAGTATTCAACATTTTCAGTAAGACAAATTTCCAGTTGCATTACTTAACATTATGGGGTCGATATCTGAAAAATATTAGAGATTAATAGAATACATGATGTAGATCCATTTTCGATGGCCAGTCCGAATATCCATATCGTTTGGACACACGCCACAAAAACTCGGGAAATTGGCCTGAATGAATATTGACTTAGTCAACATTTGTAAAACTTTAATTTCAATGCCTTTTAATTTAATTCTGAAATTCTTTGAAGACTGGCGGAATACATGGTCTAGATAAATATTCATACAGATTAGATGCACGATTCCAAAAAGTGGGAAAGTTGACACCAAAGAAAATTGACTTTGTCAAAATTTTTAATATTTTAATATAAATGCTATATTTGTCGAGACCTAAATATATTTAGAGAATAACGGAATACATGGTCTTGATCCATTTTCGATTGCTAGTCCGAATATTTATACCATTTAGACATACTTCCTAACAAAGTCTGGAAGTTGGCTCGAAAGAAGATTGACTTAGTCTAAACTTCGAAAACAGAATGTAAATGCCATATATTTTTGACATCTACAGATATTTAGAGACTAACGGAATACAAGATTTAAATCCATTTTCGATGGCCAATCCGAATACCCATACCATTTAGATGCCAGTCGAAAATAGTCGAGAAGTGGACACTAACGGAAATGGAGTTTTCGGTATTCAATATTTTGACGATTGAAGTCCTATTTTCCAACAGAATTGTTTAAGATTTGGTATTAAGAGGTTGTAATGGGTTTTACCTTTTGTGGCAGACCAGAACATGAGATAACAGCCACTGATGACATAAAAGTAGGAAGCATAAACCTCTATTACCCTGACAAATAAACTCTGTTTTAATACGTATTTTTGAAACGTGGATTTTTGACAATTTTTATTTAAAACATTATATATTTTATTTTAGGCTCGACATGTTTTCTTTGGTGACATTTGACAACAATAGCTGGTATGTTGTCAATTCCAAATCTGTTAAAGAATATGACGGAAAAAACTGCATCGTAAAATACAAAGGAGCCTTCTATTCAGCACAATTAATTTCAACAAGCCGTAAGTATATAATTTCTTTCGAGTTCCTAAATTAATTGTTCGTGTAGAACAAAATAGATTTATATATAAATATATTTTTAATTCCAAATACATCCAAACCCTGATCCGCGTTATATTTAACAAGCGTTGATTTTCTTAAGTTTGCAACAATTTTAAATGGTCGACTTGTGACAAATATATTTGTTATCTATCATATATGTATTTTAAACTCGGGGTTTTGGTGTAATAGGATTTTTTGGGAATTAAATTCATACACAGATATCATTCTCATGCAAGATTCAAAAATCGTATTTCTCTAGATGACAAAGCACATCTTCTAGATTTAAAACAAAGAAATACGGATCGAAGTTCTTATATGAATGCCGACCATAATTCAATGCAACAATCAATTCATACCAATTCAGGAATCTCAATTTCTCCAACAATTTTGTGTGCATCCGATCTTCCACCGGCAAAAGATTATACGGAACCAACTTTATTTCACAAACCATATATAACTTCAATACTAAATCTCGATGAGCAGAAATCAGATAAAACGGAGTCAACGACTGAATCAAACATTAAGCCTTCAGAGAATTTTTTTGATGAATATGTACACCCTAAAGCTGGACTAAGACCTATACATATAACTCCCCGAAAGAAAACAGCTAGTAAGCATTTAACTGGTGCTAAAACTACTCCAAAAGATGATAATTACTCTTTAAATATGACAATATTTACCGATTCAGAGCAATCTTCCAGCAGTATATCAGATATATGTTCAACTGACTCTGTGTTGAGTAATATTGGCTTAAGTTCTTTACCTTTCGGCTCACCGAAAAGGAAATGTGTGGAAGAATCTAACGACAATGTATCCTGCAATGCATTAAATATAAGCTGTATTGATAATTGGGAGTGTTGTAAAAATTCAACATCTGTCGAAACTTTCGTTGAAAATGCTGACATAAGTAGTATCAAGAAAACCTCTATTACCCTGACAAATATTGATTCTTCTGCGTCGAAATACCTACCTAGCTCGGCAATATAAAACACAAGCACAAACATTAGCTCTTTTTTGGAGATTTCAAATACTTTAAATTTGGATGGAGTTACCGTTCCTGTTTCAAAGCAAAGATCGAAGCGTCATTTTTGTCTATTTTGCAAGACTCTGCAATGCAAAATTGCAAGACATTTCTTTCTGAAACACAAAAGCGAAAAACTCGTAAAACTAGCCATGGCACTACCGAAACGTAATAAAGAGCGTTTGCAAATAATTGAGAAGCTACGAAAAGAAGGGGATTTCCTCCACAATACATCGCAAGAGCAAAACACAGGTACTTTGATTGTACTTAGACAGCAAGGACAAAAAGCTAAACATACACCCAATGACTACGTATGCTGTCCGTCGTGCAAAGGTTTTTACGCAAAATTCACCGCAAGGGCACATATACGATATTGTACTAAGAAAAAAAATGGCAGATCGAATTTTATAGAGGGACGAAAATTAACTCAATACGTACATCCTGTTGCAAACACAGCAATGAAGAGCACCATTTTTCCAGTTTTGCGAAACGACGATATAACCCGTGCGATTCGTTACGACGAGTTAGTAATTAGAAATGGAAACAGATTGTCCGAAAAATTGTCGCAAACTCACCATAATGATCACATACGAGCAAATATGCGACTACTGGGGCGGTTTAAAATAGAATTATTAAAATTAGCACCGGAAATCTTAGAACTTAAAGATATGTTCAAACCCTTTTGTTCGACAAGGCAATAGAAGCTTTGCGATTGACAGCAAAATATGAATTCGGCAAAGGGTTTGCCACGCCGGCTGTAGCTACCAATTTGACAAGTATAATAAAAAACTGTGCACGAATACAGAGGAATGAGTTTATCAAGCAACAAAATGATGATATGAAGTCTCTTCTTGACAACTTTGTGTCCCTTTGGACTGAGGAAACCCCCACTCAGATTAATAAAAAATCGATCGAGGACCAAGATAATCAAAAAAGAAACAAAAGAAATGGTTTGCCAAACAAACAAGATATACAAAAGCTATACGACTTTCTGAGATCAAAAATGCTGGACTCAATTGCAGTATTAACGGAAAAATTTGATTTAAACGCTTGGAAGAATCTCGTTGAGACAACCTTAATATGTATCCAGGTGTTTAACAGGAGAAGAGCAGGAGAAATAGAACGAATAACTATTGACAATTTTATCAATAAAGAAGAAATTACAAATTGTTTGGAGGCAGGTCTTCTTGACAATATGTCAGAGGAGTCAATTCAATTTGCCAAACAATTTGTAAGAATATCATTGAGGGGCAAATTAGGAAGAACAGTCAGCGTATTATTGGATCCGATGTGTATAAAGGCTGTGCAACTTATTTTAAAATTTCGCAAAAATGCTGGTATAAAAAATTCGAACCCATATATATTTAGCGCTCCAGCAACATCAAAGCTGTCAAAAATGTACTACAGAGCGTGCCCATTGTTAAGAAAATACGCAAACGAATGTGGAGCTTCCATGCCTGACAATCTAAGAGGCACAAAATTGAGGAAACATATCGCCACATACACGTCCTTATTAAATGTCCAAGAAGCTACTGTTGACAGATTAGCCAACTTCCTAGGCCATCATAAAGACATACATAAAAACATATATCGAATGCCTGTTCCAATGGCCATTACAGTCTCTAAATTTTTATTATCTGCTGCTGGATGCAATACAATCAAGGACATTGATGTTCAAACTTTGACCCTAAATAAAATAAATGAGGAGGATATTGAAATTAATAATACCATAGAAGACGAAGGGTTACTTAATGAATCGTCAACATCAGAAATATCATCTACATCATCAACCATTGAAGTTTCAAAAAATACTAATTCTTCTAAGTTAAAAAAACGTAGCAGTAAGTTTAGCAAAAAAGTATATAAAAAACATTGAAATACTTTTCTTTAGTCTTCCTTTACCTAAATATCCCTTCTGTTTCCTTAAAACCGATTAAATTTGTGCGAGTTACTACAAGAGCCGTCTAATTTGACCATACTTAAGATTGACTACATTAAAATATATATGGGCACGATACCTACCATTATGACTATATCGAAATTGGACAAAAATTGTGTTTTTGGTGCATCGAAGGTATGCATGAGAGCTTTTAAAAATTTTAGTTGAATAAATGTTGCGTAATGGATTCATTTAATTCTTCATATGGGGCTGTATCTAACTCTGAACCGAATTCATTATCCAATTCCGTGACAATTTACTAATTTCTATGAAATTGAACATACATTTAGCGTTTTGTGCATCAACTACATCAAATTGTCTGAAAAAATAGAAAAGCGCTTTATCCAAATCTCCACCAATGTTCAACAAAAACAACATGTTTAACTGAATTGGGCGATGAATGCGTTCTATAGGCTGAGCACTGATGGTCGGAAAGTATAAATCGACTCAAATTTTTGGCCTATTCATATCACCTAAAGCAACATGGGTCCATCTCGATTCCTTTTGAATGCTACAAGCTAATGCATAATTCGATAGTGTCCCTACCACTGCCTGATATAGGGTATAATGAGGTTAATAGTAACTCGCTCAAATTCGTTCATCTAACATTTTAAGGGGATATGAACTTACTACTTTTTGATATCCCGTAGCTTCTCCGTTCGGAAAAACAAAACGCACTAGATGGTCTGAAGACGAAAGACAAGCAATAACATTGGCTTTTGGAGATATTTCAAGCTTAGAAAAGTTGCCTTCATTGAATGAATGCAAAAATGTCATAAATATTTATGGAAGTCTCCGAAATAGAAAACCGGCTCAGGTTAAAGCCTGGATAGACAACCAAAGAAGAATTTTTCGCTCTTCTAAACCGTAAATAAAGTTTTTAATACAGTGAGGTAAATAAAATTGCTTGTGTATTCCTTAAACTAATTTTATATTTACTAATTTCATTATAATTTTTGCGATTCAGTTTCAGCACATATTATTTTTATTGGAATAATCTTTAGAAAACAAACACATGTGGAGTTTGCTCGAAAGAAATGTTTATTATGTAAGTATCCACATAAATTTATATAGTTTTCAATTTGTGTATTATCGCCAAATTGCATTTTTACTCAAAGGATAACTTTCCATAATATCCTTTGCTGATTTGAAAGTTTGAATTGATTTGATGATTTTTGTGAATAGTGTTTGATAAAGTCACATTCTTCAAATTTGAGCTAAGCTTTTTATTCTAATCATCCTTCGGAATATCTCCCAGATTGTATAAAATTTATTTTTAAGGAAATATATATATATATATATATATATATATATATATATATATATATATATATATATATATATAAACCACACCATTTATACAAAAATATAATTAAAGTCTATGATTTTATCGTTTAACCAAAACTATTCTTTAAAGAAACCTATACACAAAACAACGTAGTGTACGTCATTAGATACCTTAAAAAATGTGGCATTGCTTCCATATGTTTCAAATTTACTGGTTAAAAATATGTTTGTATTTGCAGTTATTGCCATAACACGTATTCTTTATAAGCAAAGTACACACTACTAATGGTATACGATGTTTGTAATATACGCGCTTAAAATGTCCAATCTGCAAACGAATGTACAAAATATACATTAACGATAAATACTTTTTATTGTTTGTACTTTACCTAGTTGTAGCATAACTTTTCTTCCCAGTCACGGAACGCTAAGGTACGGTACCATAGAATTGGTTTTCAAACACTGCATAAAACTTGACACTAATGTGGCGGTGTTAATTATACTTATTGCTAAATATTGCTTAGGTAATTACAATAAAAGACATGCCTCATTTTTAAAACACTAGTGTTTTTGAAAACATTTTTTTTGATTATCCGGCACCTCCCTCACGTTTATTCTGCATTAAAAAAGCGAAAGCTCTTCCTGCATGAATTTAAAATGGTTTATATTCAAACATATACAGTTACTTAAACATAATGATAAAATCA